AGATAAGTAATGCTGACATCAGGCACTGCAGGAGACTCAGGCAGAGGAGGGAGCAGCTGATTGGATTAGTATGACTGTTTTTTTTACTGTTGTCAGTAAATTGCCTGCTTTTCTGTCTCATCTTCAGGCCACTCTGTGCAGTTCTTTCATATGATTTATAACACCTGGGTCTTCTTAGAAGTGTGCTTTGGTAATGACATCCCGCTGTGATGTTACAGCATACGCACATCCTCATATCAGCCTCTGCATCACTGAAGCAAGCTGCTGGTTGACTTTAGTTTAAGCAATTTTGTGTTACTTTTGCTTCTAGTGGTCCCTTCTGTTAAACTGTGGAGATGTCCTGTAATTTTACATTTGTACACCACCACAGAGGACTTTAAAAACAATGAGTCAATATGCAGTCAATGTGCAGGTTGAATTAAATTTAAGGAGTTTATTAAATGTATTGCATTAACTGTTCAGAAATTAGGACCACTCGGACCACTCCCCCAAATCTGGACATGACCAAACACTGTTTCCTGCTTTGAGATGCTCTTCTAGGCGTTTACTGCCGCCACCTTCAGTTCTTGTGTCTTTGTGAGTCTTTGTGCGTTCAGTTTTGTCTTCATGCATGCTATGTTGGGTTGAGATCAGGTGAATGGCTTTACCATTGAAGAATATCACATTTCTTTGCCTTAAGAAGCTCTTAGGTTGCTTTTGCAGTATGCTTTGGGTTATCATCCATTTGCACTGTCAGATCAGTTTTGCAGTGTTTGGCTGAATCTGAGCAGAGAGTATGGCCTTGTGCACGTCACAGTTCATCCTGGTACTTCTATCTAAATCTAGTGCCCTGGTTCCACTGGCAGTTATACGTGCCGTAACATTGCCTCTGCCATTTTTCACAGATGATGTGATATGTTTCAGGTCATGAGCTGTTTCTCTCCCTCTCCATACTTTTCCTTCCCATCATGCTGGTAAAAGTTAATCTTGGTTTCACCTTTTCCAGAACTGTGCTGGGCTTTTTAAATGTTTTTGGACGAATGCTAATCTGGCCTTAACAACCTTGCAGTAAACCCTCTTTATTTCCATTCATGAAGGCGTTTCTTGATTGTAGGCTTTGAAAGTGATATCCCCTCAAGAGCATTGACTTAGCGAAGGAATTTAACTTTGCGAAGGAATTTTTGTTAACCAAGGAAATAATTCTGCAATCATCCACTTTAGCCGTCTTCTGGGATCTTCCAGGTCTCTGAATTCGCCAGTGCATGGCTTCTTTTTAAGCATGTTTTAGATTGTAGATTTGACCACTTCCTAAAGTTTTTGCTATCTCTCTGATTGGTTGATTTTGGTTTTTCAGCCTAATGATGGCCTCCTTTACTCGCAGTGACGTCTCTTTGGACCTCATAGTGAGAGTTCCATTAAAAACCACCAGATTGACGTTCAGCACTTCGAGTCAACTTCAGGTCTTTCATCTGCTTAGTTTATCATGGCACATTACAAGGGAACAGTTTTTCAGTGAATTGTCCAGTTACTTATGAACAACTGGTAATGGGAGGCAATGTATAAAAAATACCTGTAAGTCCTAGAATACTTTTGTAAAACCTTGATATAAATCTAAAAGCCTGTAATTCAATCACTGTGCTGAAGAAAGATGATGGTGTGAAAGTAAAGTCAACGCAGGACTGCCTTAAACTTAAACTGGTTGAAAAAAAAAAGAAGTTATTTTGAAGTCTGTGAGGAAAATTAACGCAGTTTTCAGTTAGTAAACATTCCTAATCTGATCTAATATGACTTCATTTTATAAATTATGGTCTGATTTATAATACACTAAGTGATATTATAGGTTGGCGTTGTGTAGTTTCTGACTCACATCATATAACGATGCACTGTCACTTGTTCCCCCTGTCTTGAAAAAAGAAAATCCAAAATATTAAATAAACTGTTCTTTAATTGACTTTTCATGGTCTTTTATTTCATATAAAGTCAGTCACTTTTTAATAAATTGCAAATAAATAATACATTTCTAAACTGCTTTCAATTTAAAAAAGAAAATCAATACAAACACAGAACACAACCTCCGTTGCTCTTTAACTTAAGTTCTTAACCACTTGACCTCTTCTTTTTTTTTTTATGCCTGTTTAAAATGTATCCATACAGCCACAATTTGTCTCAATTCCCTTGCATTCCCCCCGGGCGTCACAGAGCAGCTGAAAAGTACTTTATCATAGGCCCCAGCAGTGCTAGCCTTGCAGAGAGAGGTGTGCGTAGGGGTGAAAGCAAATGAGTGTGCAGCCACGAGCCTTTTCAACAGTGATGTATAATATTCCAGTCTGCCTTCTTCATAAATAAGCCCACTGCCTCAGAGGGCACATGGGACAAGTAGGTCTTGGGGCATTAAGGCACAGATTTCAATTTTAGATTGAAATTTTTAGGTTATTGTGATGTAATTTATCATCCACTCTCTTTGCACAAGTGAAAAAGAGGCATCATGTAATGTGAGGCTGTAGTTCTATATTGTGAAATGTGCTTATTATTTGCATGCATGACATTTAAATGAGAACATTTATCTGTACCTCGTGTGTTTGTAGCTGCAGCCAGGAGATGGTTAGCTCCTGTCCACCAAGTAGAACCGCCAGTCTCAGTGAGCTGCCAACACGGAGCGAGGCAGCTATTTTACATCCGAAGTGCTGCAGTCACACAGCTGTACTACTACATAGTAAATGAAAATCACAATTTTATTATAACATGGTACAAAAGCTAGCCTTGTTTTTTATTATATTAGCTTGATGCAAGATGTTTAATAAATATCACTCCAGCCACTCTCATTACTCAGTTTAAAAGTTAAACTCTAAGACAATATTTAAATAATATCACAAGCTTCCAAGGGCACTGACATGTGTATCTTGTTTGCTTATGATATAACACGTGAATTAGTGAGGTAGAACAATTCTGTCAAGGTCATTTTAAGCTGAATAGCCTGTGATTAGAGTTTACTGGACTGTGCAACAGGTTTGAGTATGGTGAGAAAATTCACATGAACTGAGTCTCCACCACAGCGTTTCACAAAATGACAAACTGTTGTTATAAGCGGTCACTAAAGCCCTCTCGCTGCTGATGTCATCCCAGTTTGTGGCTCCCCTGCCAGAGGACGGTGCTCGCTGCTCACCTCAGCAGTCTGTGCTTTGCTGTCTCACGTTGTCCTTAAACAAATGACACAGCAAAAATGCAGCAAAGTGTCATCACTCATGATGTCTGTACACCGAAGGAAACAGCAGGCCATGAGGATCAAGGTCAGAGGTCAAGTGGAAACGTTACCCAATATCCTCATGCAGCAGAAGCGTGAGAGTTCCTAGTCCACCACAGTCCATTTTTGACACGCATCGGACGCTCCCTGGGGCGGGTGTTAACACCTGTGCTTACACTGTACAGTGTGAGGATCAGCTGCCAAATTCCTGAGTGAGAGCCTGTCTACAGAATGACATTCACTTCAGCTATGTCAAATCTTCAGTAATCTGCCACAGTTAAGCATGGACACGAATTCTGCAAACATTTTCCCCACAGCAGCACTGCTCCTCAGTTTTGCCAGTAAAAGAGGTCGTTGGTTGTCATAAAAGTTGAAAAGAAATTGCATTCGCTATAAGGAAGTCACAGATACTGAATTTTTCATTCTGAACTCAGACTGTCTGATTGCAGAAACGTTGTGTGTCTCACTTATTGCTAATACACGAGTAACTGAGTTTATGAATTTATGTCAAACACTATACTTTTCATCATTGTAAGTTTTTACTCCTCCTCCACTTCTAACTTATTTTATGTCAGCTTCCAATCTCTCCTTTTTTTAAAAAATTTTTTTAACCCTCTTCAGTGGCCATTCTGCTTTTCTGCACCACCTGTTCCTCTGTCGGCCATCACACACACAAATACACTTTCCCCGCTGTGTCAACCCCTAATCTCCTCTAGAGGATCCATCTGCCCACAGTCTTTAGCCATGCAGTACCCCACCTCTTATTTGCAAAAGTGTGTGTCTGTGTGTGTGTGGACACAACTCACATGACTGCCAGCGAGTGGGCACACATGCATGCAGTGGTGGGAGGGATAATGAAGGGATATTTTGCTCCTTTATCTTCCTACTTGTCCACCTACAGCAACAGAGGGATTGTGTGTGTGTGTGTGTGTGTATGTGTGTGTATGGGCACGACTCAGTGTAGCTTAAAAGTAGCTTCTGTTTCCGTCTCCAGGGGTGGGTGGTGGTGGGTGTAAAACAAAAAGTGCTCTGAGCTGCAGAGAAAATGACGACCACGGTGTGAGACAGAATAGAAGAAGGAAGAGAAATTACCCTGCGGCACAACCTCGAACTGTACTGCTTCCCTCTCAAGACTCTGCATTAACTCTGCAGTATTCTGGGTGTCAGGAGAGGTTCTGACCTTGTCGTGCTTGTTGGCCTGTTTTATTTAGCTGATTGCACAGTGTGTAGATCTAAAAGCACTGCAGTTAAACGTGTAGCTAAAACCTGTTCTGGTTTACTACTAAATTACTAAATACAATTACTACTAAACTTAGAGCTAATGAAGTTTCTGGAAATGGCACATTTGGCAGGATGAATTGGGAAATCCAGCTTGTCTTAAAAGGCATCTTGTATCTTTTACTGTAATAAATGTAATAAATCATTACTCATAACAGTTCTTAACTTCTTCTAGATTTGAATGAGTTCAGTTGATGCAAGACACAAACATTGTTCAGTCAGGGTCACGGCATTCAAAAGAGCGCTGTTATTTCCATCTGCTATTTATAATTGGCCTGTAGTTGTGTATATCTGGAAAGTGGCAGCAAGATCCATACAGAACAGAAAAGGTATTTAATACTCGGGCATAGTGTGAAAATGTGGGTTGCATAGTGGTTTGCAGTGGCGCAGGCTAAAGCAGATTAAATGGTGTGGAAATCAATACTTCAATGAAGATTTAGATCTGAAAAATGTGATATCCGCATTTTTCATCACTCCTTAATATTTACTGTTTTGTCTCCAGATTACTTGCCTGCAGGACTTCTTCGGAGATGATGATGTCTTCATAGCGTGCGGACCAGAGAAGTTTCGCTATGCCCAAGATGACTTTGTGCTGGATCACAGTGGTAAGGCTTCCACAGCCTTTACAACTGGTAGGCCTGACTAACACTAACCAAACATATGTCTGTATATATGTGTGTGTCATGTGTGTGCATGACATTCTTAACCCATTATTTGTTCTCCTGCAGCTGCATGAAACGCTCCTTCCTTTTGAAAAGTTGACATCAAGATATGCTGTGTGTTTTCCCGTGCAATGCCATATGTGATTTCTTGTTGATTGGAATTTTGAACATGGAAAACATATCAAATGAGAAAATGTATCATTTTAAGAAATGTAATGTCAAATGTTTTCAACTGGGGAAAGATCTGGACTGCAGGAGGCCGATTCAGCACCCGGACTCTTCTACTATGAAGCTATGCTGTTGTAATAAATTAGCATTCGTTTTAGAATTATCTTGCTTAAATATGCAAGGTCCCTGAAAAAGGCATCATCTGGATGGGAGTGTTTGTTCATCTAAAAACTGTATATGACTTTTAACATGTTTAAGATACTAATTCCATAGACCAGCAGTCAGGTTTTTGAACGGAGTCCTGATAACAAGCTCGATGATTTCGTTCGCCTTTAAGCCAGAGGATGCAACATCCATGTTTTCAAAAAGAATTTTACATTTCAATTCATTGAACTGCTGAAAAGTTTACCACTTTGTCCAAGTCCATTTTAAATAAGCTTTGGCTGCTCTTTCACTTTTTACTTCTCCAGCATCCGGAGCATTTTTTCATGAAAATGTAAAATGTCTTAGTTTAAATATTTGGTATGCTTTCTATGTTCTGTTGTGAATAAAATATGGAGTTCAGAGATTTACAAATCATCACGTTCTGTTTTTTTTTTTTAAATTTACATGTTATACAGCCTCCCAGCTTTTGTCAAACTGGGTTTTCAATAAATTGAAAATGGTGTTGCATATTTTAAACACACATCCTTTTTGTCAAAAAGGGAAGAAGGTTGCATTCTTGTTTTTTATTTTATTTTATTTTAATTTTTGAATGGCATGTCCAGTCCATGTGTTTGTAAAAGTCCCACTTTAATGTTCTGTACTGTATGTGTTGTACATAAGTTAGGCACGTCTTGCATATTTCTGTATTTTATTATGCAGAAAGCTTTAGAGGATATGACCTGTATAATCAGCTCATGCATTCACTGTCATAGCTGCACATAACTTCAGCCAAGACTGAACAACCTCATGGGAAGAAGAGGAAGTTTAATTTAGTTGCAGTCCAAAATACTGACATCCTGTTTGATATTTGTGTTGTTTGGTCAGGTTGGCTTAACAACAGGGAGGCATATCCTGACACACTACACGTTAACTGATGGTGGTTTGCCTGTATGCAGTTATAGTTCAGAGCTTTTGTCCCACTTAGACTGCTGTGCTCCACTTGTAAGAATTAGGTCTTTGAAGGTACATAAAAAGGCACACTGCACTCTGCTGAGAGTACAGAAGATAGGTCCAGGACACACCCTGTGACTGAGGAGAGGAAAGTGGGTAATCAGATGTAAGCAGGTTAGCTTTTAAGTCATGAAGCACAAATCAGTTTGGAAACTATATTTGTTGGTCCTGTAAAAAGATTTTGTTTAATATTTTATTTCATGGCTAGAACTGCTTTATTCCTCCAGGTTCTGCATCTGCTGATATACATTATGGGTCACACTGCACTCTGGATGATTTGAATGTATGTGTTGGACTGCAATAGAAATAGAGTGTACAAAATGATTATCTATTACTGCAGTCAGTTATGAAAGGCTGGTGTGTAGCAGGTACTGATATGCACAAATCTGTAAACCTGTGCAGTTTTTCATGAACAAACAAGTTCTGTCCTGCTTCACAGACTCCAGGGAGTATCATTAGTGGTATGAATGCTGTGGTGACTTTAACTGCGTTGTTTTCCCAGAATGCAGAGTGCTAAAGTCGTCATACAGCCGCTCTGCTACTCCAAACCGGACGGCTAAAAGCCCTGGAGTTTCACGGCGCAGCAAGTCCCCCGGTGCAGGTAGGAGGCACGTGTTGCACAATCATTTTAAAAATAATAGTCTATAAAAATGTGTGGTGATTCCCACCTCATACGTCTGCCATCCAGGCAAAGTCAGTTCTTGCAAGTTATTGCAGCATATAGTATGTATGAAAATATTTCACACGTAAAAAAAAAAAAAGAAATCCCATTCGACTAAAGCCAACATAAGACTGTAACAGGTTAGGCAATGATTATTTAGCAGCTTAAATGTAAACTGGCCATAGTTTCTGAGCAGTTTGTGTGCTGTGTTGAGAGATGTTACATTAAGCTGAATGCTCTGCATTGTATTTTTTTCTGTTATGTAGCAAGGCGACCTGCCCACTTCTCCACCACGCAGTCCCCAGTCAAGTCCCCAGGTGAGGCTTAACATGCTGTGCTGTGAAATCTGTTGTGCTCACGTCTATGTTATAAAATGATTTTTGTTAGTTTGACATTTTATATAATTAGCAGTGACTCCAAATCTGCTGTCCCAACGTTTTCAGGGGTAATCTTCATATTTGTACAATAATATTTAACTTTTAAACCATTTTGATAACCATTTGGAGCTTTTACCGCAAAAGTGAAATGTCAAAGAGTAAAACACCTGATGTAGAATCTACCTGTTGAGTCGAAATTTATTAGAAAAAAGCTAAGCTTGATTCCCCCATAAATGATCCAGGATCATCCTGAGTGTTGCTCACAACTGCTTCATGTTTTATTACTCTGTTAGCAAGTGTTTTGTTGGCAGGTGAATAAACCCCAAGATCTGCTGTGGTACTGTAGGAAGCATATCATAAAAAATAAATGGATTAAAAAAACACCAAAATACAACAATCTGCAGATTTTTACTGACACCTCAGGTAGGTTTGTTTTCTTTGTGGACAAGCTGTGTTCAGCCGACCTGTAGCTCTGGGGTTAGTTACATCATTAGTTACACTTTGCTACTACTCTATTGGACCCTCTTTTGACTTCAGAGCTGCCTTAATTCTTTGTGGCATAGTTTCAATAAGTTGCTGGAAACATTCCTCAGAGATTTTGCTCCAGATTGACATGATAGCATCACATGGTTGCTACAGATTTGTTGGCTGTATCTACATGATGCCAATCTCTCGTTCCACCACATTCCAAAGATGCTGTATTGAATTAAGGCTGCGGAGGCCATGTGACTACAGTGACTTCTTTGTCGCGCTCAGGAAAACAGATTGAGATGATTTGAGTGTTGAGACATGGTGTGTTATCCTGCTAGAATCAGTATACCCTTTGAAAGAGGAGTACATTGTGCTGATAAAGGGGTGGACATGATCAGCAACAATACTCAGGTATGCTGTGGCATTTAAACAATGCTCAGTTGGTTCTAAGGGACCCACAGTGTGCCAAGAAAATATCCCCCACACTATTACACACCACCACAACCATGATGTATTTATACAGGTCAGGATCCATCACTGCATCCAAATGTTACAGCGGAAATCAAGATTCATCAGACCGGGCAATGTTTTTCCAACCTTTTATTGACCAATTTTGGTGAACCAGAGTGAATTGTAGCTTCACTTTCCTGTTCTTAGCTGACAGGCGTGGCACCCTGTATAATTCGGAATTACATAATCTGAATAATTACTGATTACTGAAGCTTCACCTTTACTCTATTCTTAAAATTGTCTACTCTTAGCATCACCCCATACTTGACATTCATATATGTTTTAATTTTACCTGTGAATGATGGTTAATGATAAACTAATCATTAGCAGCTTAACCATAGCATATGAATGGGGAGCCAAATCCAATATGACAACACATTTACAACCAAATGCAAAGACTGCAGTTATGTTAGGAAAAAATCAAACTGAGAATTCAAACTAGGGAGCAAACACAAAATTTTCTAAACTTAACAGACTTGACTGTTTTAGCTACTATTAGCTACTTTAGCTTGCTAAAACCAAGTCTATGAAATAAAGCAGTTTTCTTAACATTCAGTCTTCCACTAATTGGTCCTCTAGTGTTAAATGAAAATCAGAGCCAAAAATAGGAACACTGGTTTGTGTTTCTTTCTATTTTTAGCACTGTTAGCTGTTTCCTCTGTAGCTCCTCAGATCTCAGATCAGTGTATCTAAACAAGACACATTTCTGTACTTTGACCCTCTTTCTCTCCTTCGCTCTTCTGAGGCCAATGAGATGCATTGAACTCTACCCAACTACCTGTTAGAGAGCCAGCTGCTGCAGAGTGATTTAAAGCCATGAACTGATAATACCGTGTCTGCACAGAAAGCTAAACATGAGTAGCACATTAGCACAGATACCCTACTACTCTCTTGACTGCTAGAAATTAACAACTGAAGAATGCTTCTGAAAGGAAACAGTTCTCGTCTGTGATAATTCAATTCTAATCTAACTGAATAGCTGCAGATGAGATGCTGAGAAAATAGCTTGTTATCTACAGGCTAATGTCATGTTGTGTAAACTGCCTTCTGAGGCACTGATTTTGAAGAAACACTTTGAGTTTATAATTAAATTAAAAAGTTAAACTCTGAAATGTGAGTGCAAAGATGCAGCCTGTAGGCAGTGTGAAGTGATTTTCCTCAGCTCGTCTGGGTTTATGCAGATGAATGACTGTGAGTTAAAGTTTGACGCATTATGGCTCTGTATTTGTGCCAGCAGCCGATAGAGAGCGAAGCAGAAATAGACTGTTCTTAAGAGAATGAATCACTCAAACAATAGAGGATTTCGTCCCTGCTGTGTGCTCTTGTTTTAAAAGAGTGATAAAATATATGCAAACGTGTGAAATCTAATGATAATTTTCAGGCAAATTTACAAAAAACTCACTTTTATGATCAATCAATACATTTTTTTTAATGTATTGTGTCTACATAAACCAAAGTGAACAGTAATAGGGGCATCAGCCTAGACTGCAATCTGCAATTCTGCAATCGTTCAGCCTCGTTACCTGTAGTGAGAGTGCTTTCAGTGAAAGAATAATGGTATTTTTGTAGGTACTAAAAGTGTACCTACAAAAATGACCACACACCTCCCCCTCATGGGGAGAATCTGCAACCTGCTAAAAAAGAACTTGCGAATTTGTGAGTGAGTCACAGGGGGGGCTGTTTGACGATTCACTTTATTACCAAGTGCATAGTATGCTAGTGTGATACAGTTTGCATTAGATAACCACGGGTTATCTTTTAGCACTGGTATCACTGGCAGTTTTAAACATCTCAAAAGTATATATTGCTGCAAACATGTTTATTAAGTCACTGCCTGACTTATTGATGGATTCTCCTCAAAGCTGTGCATTACTCCTGAACTACAACTACTACGCTCTGAATGATGAACTCATAATCCCACTGACTCTTGCCCTGTTTTTCCTTCTCTCTGCACAGTAAATGGTATTTCAACCCACAAGTCCACCAAGTCCTCTACTCCATCCCCTACCAGCCCTCGAACCACCCCCAGTTTTAAGGTAAGACTGTGTATCCAATGCATTTTATACAGTAACAAGACACCCACAGCTTGCTGCTGCACCAGAACCCACAGAGTCTCAGCGATTCTCTTTATACAGTGTACTGTGAATATATGCATGGGCTCACACTGACAGTCACTCGAGGCACACACAATACTGCAAAAGAACACTGACAGACTTTGTTAAAGTTTAGTTCATAATGCTGCAGAATTTCAGGGCGTGTGTCACATTTGTGTTGACACTGACTCCTTCACTTCGTCCTAGTTGAGACCAAACAAGCGCCTTTAGTGAAACTGTCTAGATAGGATGCAGATAAGCACAAAGTTAAAACTGCTTTAAAGGTAAAGAAAAGTTTACATCCAGTATATAATTTTATATATTTTTTACAGCACTAACTCAAAATGTTGGTGATGCCTTGTAAAATGTAAATAATGCTAAAACACAAACCTCATAAACCCATATTACCATTAAATAAATAAAAAATTAGGTCACTTTAAATCTCAAAAAGAGTTGGGATAAGCCCTCTTCTTCTAACAGCAGGCGTAAACATCTGTGATCTGAGGAGACCAGCTGCTGGACTGTTAGGAGAGGAATGTTTCCTTACAGGATTACATGTTTTCCAAAATGAACTTCAGATTTTGATTCACCTGACCCCAGAACAGTTTTCCAGGTCGCCCCAGTCCATTTTACATAAACTTTAGCCCAGAGAAAACAGCAGTGTTTCTGAGTCATATTCAGATATGGTGTCTCCTTTGCATGATAGAGCTTTAACTTGTGTTTGTGGATGGCACGGTGAACAGTTTCTCAGATGCTTTTTTCATTACCAGTCATGTGACTTACAGTAACCTAATTAGTTACAAAATGTTGCTTCCAGCCTTTTGTCGCCTCTGATCGAACTTTTTTCCAGACATGTTTATGCCATCAATTTTCAAAATGAGTCACTATTTTTCATAAAAGAGCAAAAAGTCTTAGTTTTTTCGCTTTCTTCGTTCTATTGAGAATACGATATCAGTGTATGGGGATTATAATAAAATGATTGCATTCTGCTTTTATTTACATTTTACCTAAAAAAATTTTAAATCTCTATATTCCAGCTGCATTTGCTAACATATAGTCGTCTTTCCTGCATTTTTCTGGCTCACTGGTACCCGTTAACCAGTGGATTAGCTTGAATACACTGATTTCAGTGTAGCTCTGCCTCTGAGACTTTAAATCCAAATTAGTGCTGCTAGTGGTGTTATTGCAAAGCTAGGGATAAGGCAAGGATGTACAACCTACATACCCTGAAATAGAATAAATCAGCATCAAATGAATTTATCAAGCCACTGACTTTCAGTCATGTTGTATGACTCGCAGGGTATGTCGTAGCTGCCTGATGTGTTTTCACTAGATTTTAAGATAATAATCTGCTTTATTGATGGATTCTCCTGTAAATCTGTGTTAGTCCCAGACTGTCATTTCTGAATGATCCAGCCAGCTGGCTAACCTCCTCCACCTTTGCGCAGTTCCTCTGTGAGCCCATAGTTATCCATCCACATTAGTTTGGCACCACTAAGTCAGATAGAGTCATTTATCAAAGTAAAAAGCTTTTTTATGTATCTACCTATAAAAGGGACCTTGACACTGTCCCACGTTCAACTTTGCTTCAGAGGGCTACCTAAAAATAGATCCTCACTGTAAGGTAATGCACATTATGGCTCAGTGTGGTATGTAAGCACTGCTGTGCATGATGGGGAGTGAACTTTTTCTGATCTTTAGTGCTGGTGGCATGCATTTATTGCTGACATTTCAGAAATGTAGACATAAGCTGCTGAAATGACTCTCTTAACAAATGAATGATTCATTTAAGTGGTCAAACTCAGACATCTGAAATCGTCTACATCTGAAAGAATATGAAAATGAATATGTCTCCTTTTATTGTAATCAAAGTCACTAACAAGCCAGTAATAGATCAGCAGCGTTTTAACGACGATCATTATGTTTGTCGACACTGTTTGTTATTTTGCTGCCAGTTTGAGTATTGATGAGGCCGAGCTCTTATCTCTGTTGTTGTTTGTTGTTGCACAGATCCCTCCGTCACATCACCACTCTTCCCCAAATATAAATGGCTCGTTGAACAATCATCAGGAGCAAACCAATCAGCTGAGTCCAGAAGGTATGATCAGAGTAATTTTACACAGAGACTCTGCTGCTTAACTCAGTGTGACACCTGCTGGAGTTGCAACTACTAGAGTTTAGCTTAGAAAATTAATCAGTTACGCTTATAGACTATTTGAAGCCAGTAATTTAGAATGATTAAAATTTAACCCGGCAACACACTAAAGCAATCTTCCTTTAATTTTCCTAGATGACACCAAAACTCTGTTTCTGTGAGTAGACAAAGCCTTAAACAGAAAGTCTGTGTTAAATAAAGAAAACTGATAACCACCAGCATGATACCTGTTACCTTTGACTTGGATTTGACTTTTTTTCAAGCCAGCTGAGGCAAAGAAAGCCTGGCTATGCTGCTAGATTTCAGCGTAGTTTTGTGTACCTTTAAGACTTGCTTGTTTATAACCTTTGTCTCTCCTCGGCAGTTAATGGGAACCAGCACTCGCATGCCTCAAGCATCTGTGAAAAATATAAGATTGGCAAAGTCATCGGAGATGGCAACTTTGCTGTGGTCAAAGATTGTGTGGAGAGGTAAGTGAAACCCGTTCGATCAGACTGGAAATGTTGGCAGAAATCTGCAGTGAACGCACAGCAGTGTCCCTCCTCCCCGTGTGCAGCTTATTGAAGTATGTGTCACATTGTGGTCACTGCCCAGTCAGGCCGTTTGAGTCCTGATGACAGGCATTGTGCAGACAGAAATATGTCATGGATTAAACCCAGGAGTGATTTCACTTCATTAGCCTTTTTAATCTCAGTCAACACACAGACAGGGAGGTGGAGGTGACAAAGAGGGGCCTGTTGAGTGTGTGTGTGTGTGTGTGTGTGTGTGTGCGCAAGATGTCTTGCACCTTTCTAGAAAGTACTTATGTGAACACACTGTAAACAAACAGTTTAGATTCTCAGTTTCTTACCAAAATACAGTGTATATGTCATTGAATAAACATTTGCCTGCGCCTGCACGGTTTCACAGCTCACACTCTGCATAACAAAGTTTATTTGCTACATCTAGAATTCCTCCCCTGTAACGATGTGACGCAGCGCTCCTGCAAAACCATAACCGAGCGTCTCCGGCGAGCACTCCATTTAAATTACAGACACTGCTGTAGCTTCACTGCTGCGTTCAGTGTTATCCCCTAATTGCACTGTTTCTGTTCAGGTCCACGGGGAAAGAGTTTGCCCTGAAGATTATCGACAAGACAAAGTGCAGCGGAAAGGTTTCACTTCTGTTCCTCTCTGCCTCCTCCTTTTATTCCTCCCTTTGCATGTGTCACTTTCAGTCAGACGTAAGCAGGCATCATATGTTGGTGCACCGCACGGTCACACCTGTGTGCCTCTGATGCTCAAAGCTCGATTAAGTGATATTGTTTATTCACACCCTTGTTCGCATTACCCTCATACTTTCACACACTTAGACAATGACACACCAGGATTCGCTCACGTTTAACGCACAACTCAGATCTTTTATTATTAGCGCAACAACTGAGCGTAGACACCGGGCGCTAGCCAACTCTGAGTGAGTGTGTTTGTGTTTCCTAGGAGCACCTCATAGAAAATGAAGTCGCTGTGCTCCGGAAGGTGAAACATCCCAACATCATCATGTTGATCGAGGAGGTGGACACTCCCTCTGAACTATACCTGGTTATGGAGCTGGTGAAGGTGCAGTAGAGGCTGAGGGGGGAGTGGGTGGCTGAGGTGAGAGGGGTCATTTCTCATTTTGCTGTGTAAAACACAGTTGTCATATTTTCACAGGGAGGCGATTTATTTGATGCCATCACCTCCTCGGCCAAATACACAGAGAGAGACGCCAGTATCATGGTGTACAACCTCGCCAGAGCGCTGAAGTACCTACACAGCTTGAACATCGTCCACAGAGACATTAAACCAGAGAATCTACTGGTATGCATTTACAAACATGCTGTGTTTTGGGGTGGGTCTTACAACAAATCCAGATCCTCTGTGGGCTTTAAATGAGTATTTCATTCTAGGTTTTTGAGTACCCAGATGGCACCAAATCACTGAAACTTGGAGACTTTGGCCTAGCTACAGTAGTCGAGGGCCCCTTGTATACTGTATGTGGCACTCCTACATATGTGGCTCCAGAAATCATCGCTGAGTCAGGGTAAGCTGGACGCTTTGACGCAATATGCTTTAGTATTGTGCTGTTGTAATCAGCTGACTGAAGATTAAAAAGAAAACGGTATTTTATACCAGTGTACAATACAGCATGACAAACTACGCATACAGTATGTGGCAGCAGGCACGTTTATGTGGTAATATGTACTGTTGTACCGTTACAGCAGATTAGAAACTTTCATTTGTCAAATGTCAAAATGTTTTTTCTGTATTTTTATGTCCAGAAAGAGTTTGCTTTAAATGATTTAGTCTTTTTCTGGCTCTGTTCTTACCCTCATTTCACAGTTATGGCCTGAAGGTGGATATCTGGGCCGCAGGTGTCATCACCTACATCCTCCTGTGTGGATTCCCTCCTTTTAGAAGGTACTCGGTTCACATAGTTCAGTAAACAAACATGTAGAGGGACATCGTTTTCAGTTTTAAAGGTAGATACTATATCACAGGTGGATAACAGGTGATGCCATATATTGCTACCATACTTTTTTGCCTAGATTTAATGAAAGAGGATGCTGTTCAAGTTCATTTGGTGTCAATATATCAATGACAAGCTAGCCATGCCCTAAAATATGCTTTACTTTGTATTTACTTTTTATATGACACCCCAGCTTATTAAACTGAGATAGTGCAGTATTAAACTAGAAAGTGGAGATATAGATTGAGTCTATAAATTAAATAGGTCATAACCAGGCCAGAAGTCAGATTTTTCTATCTTCTTATTTTTCCACCCACAGGAGTCACCCCCTGCTGGCCATTAAAACGAGTGCAGCTTAACTTTGCAGTCCTGAAGGCTATGCCAGTCATTAATATACAGTCTATGACTTTGAGCAAAAAATTCAATCTTTTCTAAATTGTCAGCAGAAATTCAGCCACGTTGTCAGTTTGACTTTCATCACTGTCAGTTTGCTACATCTGTACGCTGTCGCTGATATTAGTCACTGTGCTAAGGATTGTGTAATTTGATTTACGTTAATGTGACCCATATGTCATCTCTAGCACTTCATGTTTATGGCAGTAGCCACAAATTGAAATTCAAAATGAAAGGATTTTATTATGCAAAGTACAATACAGATGGTTCAGTTTTTTCACAGTTTAGATGTATGTCACGTTTGCTGAGTAATGCATTATAAATTCTGAGTTGTTTTTCTGAGTGTGTGTTTCTCCTTCAATATAGTGAGAATAACCAGCAAGAGGACTTATTTGACCAAATCCTTCGAGGGCGACTGGACTTTCCCAGTCCTTACTGGGACAACATCACTGACTCAGCTAAGGTCAGGACCACTGATTTACACAATTCATATATATTCATTAGATGACATTACTCTGGAGGGTTACGCTACCCACTCTGTTGTTTAATCCTTACCCTTCTCTCTGCATTGGCTGCAAAAAGCCTGAAACAAGCCTCCAGCTTTTTTAGTTCAAGTACAAGAGTAGAGACTCCTGTAATAGCTGCTTTCTGCTGAAGGACGCAGAAACCCCCTCAATTCTCTAAGTTAATGTCAAGTATTAAGGTGGCAGCCGGCACTCAGCGTGCAAGACCTAACTGCTAATTAAACGCACTTGTGTTACAGTGGCTTTGTCGCTGTAGACATGAGCACAGTTATTGATGCCACACCATGAGGCAGCGTGGCGTAATGAAGCTGTAGATCTAAGAGAGCACGATTTCTCTGGAAACAATATATGCATACGTGACTTCCTGAGTGCACATGTGCACAAATGGTCATTATTTATATTTTAAAAAGTGGTTCTTTTAGGAACATGTTTATAATTTATTGCAATGCAGAAACCAGCTTTGCCAGGAATATACATTTCCAGTTTTTTGTTGAGATAATAGGTTTTTTTTCCCCTCCCAATAAAGCAGTTAAAACGGATAAACTGCTCCAGAAACAAATAGCATAAAGCTGTCAGTTATCACCATGCTTGGTTAGCATGGTGTATCCATAAATTGTATAAATGCATGAGACAGATACAAAGATATGCTAATAGTACATAAAATCCTGTTATTTACTTCTTGCAGAGTATTTTAGTACAATTATCAGCACTCTAAGCAATATTAGTTGTCAAATAATGACAGAAAAATACTCAAAAGGCTACTAGCAAGAAGCTAACTAGCAGTCATCTAGGGTCAGCTGCCAACCCTTACTAACACTTAATTTTAAGATTTAAAAGTGTTTAAAGTGTGAGTAATATCAAGCACAGTTACTATGAAGGGGTAAAATAACTAGAGTGACCAAAACTGCTCTTTGCAACATGCTGTAGATCATGTTTCTGTTTGCTGTAAAGTTGCATATTTTGACATAGGAGTTTATGGAGATCGGTTCACTTTTTGAGCTAGCATCAAGGAGCTGTAGTTTATACTTGTTCCACACTTCAATTTTCAATTTAACTCAAAATCCACTTGATTAGTTTAAGCATACACCCACCTGATTCTGTGCATTGGTATTTATCAGATGGACTGAAATGCGACTATACATGGATGATTTTGGCCTGCGGGTAGTCAGTGTTGCCAACTCCTCAGTAAGGAAAATCGCTATTGGCTGTCCTAAAAGTCGCTAGAAGTCGCTACATGACGCCATCGCCTGATTTGCATAATTGGTCATGCTAATGTAATTGTAACCTATGTTGTAGGCGAGAAAAATAACATTGTGGAAGAGACATAAAGTGAGTAAAAAACGTCCTAAATGCATTTAGAATTTATTTAGAACTACAAATTAAATTTCTTTTGGCAATTATTGTTTTTTTAATGTCACAATTCCAACCCTGCTCCTCTATCCGGGCTTGGACTGGCAAAAGTGACCCGAAATAGGCACTCTGGGGGAGTTACTTTGTGTGTGTGTGTTTATAAGTAGTTTTAAACCTTGTGATCCCCAAAACAACATAACAGTAAAAGAAGAACTGACTGCGTTACAGTCATGCGCGATTCATTTGCTAGTCGCTTTTTAGAAAAAAAGACGCTAAGGGGGTCTGAAAACTCGCTAAACATAGCGATAAAGTCGCTAAGTTGGCAACACTGCCCACGGGTTTGCTAGAACATCTTCATCGGTCACATATCAATTTGGCACTTATTTCTTGTTACACCGCCGCCTGGTGGCCAAAAACCCCCCGAAAAGACTTTAAGTCTAAAGGAAATTTATCTTTAAAGCTGAACTAATCTAGTGTTGTGAAATGTTGCAGGAGCTGATTGGAAAGATGCTGCAGGTCAACGCTGAGGCTCGATACACGGCACAAGATGTTCTCTCACATCCATGGGTCACGGTACTCTAACACAATCTGTATTAACACAGCCCGAGACTGTGGTTATTTGTTTCTGTGTGGATTTCAATATTGTGTGTTTGTGTGTGCCAAGGATGATGCAATCATGGAGAATAACATGAAGATGGAGGTGACAGGTAAACTGAAGACGCACTTCAACACCGCGCCAAAGCACAGCACCACCACAGCCGGGGTGTCAGTCATCATGGTAAGCACCTGGAACGAGACATGATTTGTTACATATTTCTGGAGGGGTTTTTTTTTTCAATCCTGTAACTGTAATGAGATTACCTTTCAACGATCTCCTAAATCTAAATCAGCAATACTGATGTCTTGGTGTGGGTTTAGTTGTAAGTGACCCGGAGCCTGCAGTGGGATGAACATGTCAGGCCCTTTTCCAAGCATTTACTGCGTGATTGTGAATGTTTGACCCAAATACACAAGATTGCGCTCCTAACCAAACAAAGGTTTAGTTGACCACTGGGCCAAGAATTTCTGATCTCGTGTTCATCCAGGAAGACGCGGATGAAGCCATAAGTCTTAAGACTTCAGAGACAGAAATACACAATTTATTCCCGTAGTATGGGCAGCTCTTCATCTTGTCTCTTTCAAGCCTCATTTACATCACTTCCTGTTGTACAGTTTGACTTCCTCTCCTCATCAGGTCACACCACCCATCAGCTGAGCACAGCCTCTCTTCGTCTGTCTAAAGTGAAAGCAGGATGGTGGGGGTGGAGGAAGGAGAAGATGTCTTTGATTAGAAATTTGATTTGGCACTCCAAGCCTCATTCTGTTGTAAATCTCATTTGACAGTTTGAGGTGTAATTGCGGGCCCTGGCCTCGGCTCCTCCTCTTCCTCCTCCTCTCCACGCTCTTCCTCCACCCTCATCCTCACCCCTCCCTCACACCTGACCCAGGACCACAGGGGACGCCTGGAGCTGAGAGCTGGGTACACACTTCTTACCACCGCCCCTCTTAACTCCCGTCATCCTCTCCAGCTATCACCCTTCCGCTCGCGCTCTTCCTCCATCTACAACAACTCCCATCCCCACCCCCCAGTCTCCCTCCTCACCCTCCCGTCTCACCCTCCCTTTCCCTTCCTTCCTGCTTCATTCTCCGACCCCCTGTTCCACTTCTTGGGCTGCCAGCTGCAGTGACTGCACTCACTAACACTGTGTCCTGGATTTAGCCCCCTGACTCTCTGCACATGTGTCATTCTGCTCCTTTTATTCACATTCAGCTCCTTTTGTGCTGGTCACAACGTTTATATAATATGATTAAAAAGAAAATGTTGGCTTTTCTTGGGGGTTTTTTTTGGGGGGGGGGTGTTGGATCATACTGTCACTGAGGTTTTAAAAGCATGTTTACACTGCTAGCGCAATGCAGTTTGCCTCCTTCTCTGTATTTATTATGTCAGTCATCACATTTGTCTTAAAGTCAACTTTCTGTAACTGCTGATCTAATAAATCAATGATTGGCTGCTTAGCAGTCATTCCCATTTTTGATAGTCTGGCGCCACCTTGAGGAAAGGCTTTGGAAGTGCCGGCACAAAGTTGTAGTTGCAGAGAAGGATTCAAAGTGTCTTTATGGCTTGGATGTAAGACTCCATTTGCGCATTTTAAAGAAATAGGGCCAGATTGTTCTGTGATGTCTTTGTTGTCTACAAATCCAACTTTTTAAAAACACCCAGTGATGTCTTATTAAATGGACGAGCACTTTTTTTTAGCAAAGCTGCCGCAGAGAGGGACAATGATGCATTTGTTTAAAAGAAAAAGGGAATATTAACATTTTGCTATAGCATGGTAACTAATTATAGCATCCATGTTTAGAATAACACAAGTGTAGAATACGTTTGGCCCACTTGAATAAGTCGTCATTAGTTATACAGTTGTGTATATCATAATCATCTGGTCCCAGTCACATTACTGACCTCATGCAAATGAACCTAGTTAGTTCTAAAAGGCTCCTCTAGCTGTTTCTGTTTAGTAGCACTTGCTTCTACAGGATTTTGTTACTCTCAACTGTTTTCAGACACGTTGCTGGAATAAAATTCACGGAACGAGCAAAGTGTCTCAGTTTAAACATTTTTGTGTTCTCTTATGAGATTTGTAGGATTACATTATAATTTATGTTTTACATACCAAACCAACTTTTGGGGAATTGGGGTCATACAATATGCGCTGCTCCCTGCAAGTCTTTTTCCTAGTTTGATCTGGAACGTACGTCACAGCACGCCACGGTCAAAGTTCAACACTAAGCCAAAGTTGTTGAGCGGCGTGGAGCCGTCGTCACGTTGTATGTGAAGGGGCGTTTTATGCAAGCAGATATCTTTTTGAAATAATCCACCGTATCCGCCATTAAAAAACAAACAATAACAAAACTCACCTGCAAACTATATCCATCGTTTATATACAGTCTCTGTATGTACTCTTATTAAACTGCCTAATAGTGTTTTTATTAATCCGAACACTTAACTTCCAGCAATGCCTTTGGCCAAACGATTGACCGTTTATTTTCTCCAAAGGATTTAGTTTTCTATTTTGTACAGTTTCACTTGTTTGTCCAGATTATTCACTAAAAATCAAGCTATTTAATAATCATCATTTATTAACTCTTCTGTCACAATTTATCTATTATAACTTCCTGCTCAGAAAACTGTGCTCAGTTCTTTAACTTCCACATTTCACTCTGAGGTATGTGAGGTATGGGAGTCAGTGATCTCTCACCCACCAACAGACCTTAAACAACAGTGATAATAATTTAAAAAAAAGTCTGGAGTGATTACAGGCTTTTCTTTTAAAACTAAATCCACATTTAATCCACTCAGTCCTCTGATTGTTATGCAGCACTCGCTGACACTAACCCTTTTACAGAAGGTTTCACAGTTTGTTCCACGTCAGTCCTCTGAAGGAGCCTTTTGGTTGGGAGTAGTTTGACTTGAAACGGCGCAGCAGCACTGAGCTGGAACAACTGTCCACCGGCTGTCATGCTTGTTGTGTTGACTTTTCTTTGTGAAGCTGTGAGTAAGACTAGTCTCTGTCCCTTTTTTGCTTCTTCCCCACCTCCCCCGCCACCTTCCTGCTTTTCGTCCCTCTGATTTAGCTCCAAGGCAATGGTATGTACTAACACGATGCTACGCCTCGTCTGTTCTGCTGCTGAGATTCAGCAAAAGGGCAAGTGAGGAACGTTACATTTACTAGTTTTGTCTTAAAAGTATTCTCAAGTACGTGTTATTTTGGTTGATTTATGTAAAAGTGAACCATTAGGCATCCGTACAAAGTAAAAGTTCCCTTTCTCATTTGCCCTTCGTCTGTACATAGAGTAGCACTTTGATGTGGTTTTCTTCCCGTTTGGGTCAGTCTTCTGTGCAAAGCATACTTTCTTTTGGTGAACATCTTTCAGTTTTTTTGTGTCCATTTATTTCCATTAGCTTCTTTATTCATTCATTTTGTTTACTCACTAAAAGCTGGGTCAGTAGTTCTGAAAAAAAGAAAAACAAACACAGAAGGATTATTTATGCTAAATGAATATGATTTCCTGAGATCAACCCGCAGTATCTCTTTCTGTTCTGACTGATGTTGCTGGATGCACGCGTGTCAAGCTGATGGTTTGTTTTGTTCCACCAGAACACAGCGCTAGATAAGGAGACCCTTCAGCTCACGGCCCGTTGTTGTCCAGGGCCACAAGCGGTGCCATGTTCGCCCCTGTTGCATGGCACTGAAGTCCCATCTGCTCTTCCGGACCAGTCGGCGTCACCATTTGCCAAAGTACCCGAATCTAACGAGCTGGCTTCAACAGAAACCGCTAGGCCTGATACTACGTCCAAATCTGCACCTCCCCACTCCGATTCTCCGAATGACAGCCACACATTAGCTGCTAAGCTTGACCTGCCCACCTCTAATCTTTTAAGTTCACTTCAGTTTTCTCCTTCACCCTCTGTTGAAACTTGTCCCATCAACTCTTTGCTCATTTCTTCTCCACCACAAATAGAAACCTCCCCAACTGCTGCCCCCTGCTCGTCTTTAGAGTCTACCTCACCCTCGTGTCCTCCTGCTGTTCTCGCATGCATAGCTCCCTCTGCACCCATCTCCCGTCCTTCCCCGGCATCTCCGACGGAGCTGGCCACAAATGCTCCCTCTGCTTGTCCTACCAAACAAGCAGCATCTCAGCCTTCCTCACCCACTGTCTCCCCGATCCAGCCCGTTGTGTTATTCCCTCTCTCATCCCCAACAAAATGTGAGCCTTCCTCCCCCTCACCTATCCATCCAACCCTGTTTCCCTCTCCTCCTTCCACACCTCTGAGATCCACCACCCCCCGCTCTCCTTTTTGCCCTCCTTCTCCCATCTCTTTAACAGCCGAAGAACTTATGGAGAAGCTCTAAACACTCTTATCCCCACAAACAGAAACAGAAACCATAGGATGAAACATCTCAATTAGCATTTCCTGGTAGATGTAAACTGAGCCAGTGACCGCTGTGACCATGCCTTTTCCCCTCATATTCTTCTCCCGCTCATTTTATTAGACAAAGGATATGAGGCATTTTCTGTACTCTGTTGATTGTATATATGTTTTTATTTATTAATTGAGGATGTTGAAAGGGAATGAACTGAATATCGTTCTTCTGAGTGGTTCGTCTTTTGAATTCATACACTGCTTAGTCAGACTTCGTGTTTTAGCTTCCCATTTGGAATCCCCGGGGCCCCTTTTTAAAGGGTTATTCAGTACAAACGCATAGCAAACTCCTAGAGAGGCTACTGTGTGTGATTCTGTATGCGTTTTTCAATCACTTCACCATATCGAAGTCCCAAATTTGCTAGACTGTCTACCTGTAGTAAAGTCATCCTGATGATAGTGGCCAATTGACAATTTCATGCATTGTGTCGACAAAGTAAAGGTGATATCTGCCAAAGTAGCCCATGGCTAAGGAGTCAGAGAGTGTTTCAAACAGCTTTAGCTCCACGTATGTGTTTGAGTGTAAAATTGGGAATCATCAGATCTGTTAAATTTGAAAGAAATGGCTGTTCACACGCAATTTTGAAGCTACGTCTACAGTAACATCCAAATGACCTCTAGTGCAGCAGTTCCCCAAATATTGTGTTCTGCAATTCTTCAAAAGTGAGAAATGCTGCAAAAATAGTCTTAGAAAAATTGCTGTTTTAAGATCAAAAGTTTCCTCTTCTGCTCATCTATCCTCTTTATCATTTTTCAACTCCTTAGATTTATTAGCCAATGTTAGTTATAAACAGAGTGCTGGTTACAATGTTTCTACTCACAGCAGCGAACTGGAACTGTTTGGAAAAAGAAGCATAAAATCTAATTTGGGGTTTTTTTTGTGAGCACAAAGTATAATTCTACCCTTCATGATGGACTGGAGACAGACGTGTGATGGACATCTAAAAACAACTAGCTAAAGGTCATTGCATGTCCAGGCACTACTGAAGGAAAGTAATGTACTCCGTACGTGTATTTGAGTCATTAAAGTCTCTTTGTTTGAGTAGACGACTGCAACTTTCACTCATACGCTTTATTTGTATGTAGTGTGCTGAACTACAGCTGTGAGCACATGTAAAGAGAAGAAAGATCCAACAGATGTTAAACCGAACTGCACGGTAACTTTTATTTAACCGAAACTCTCAATACAGACGTGACTGGTACTGTACAGGAAAAACATACTTGCTGGTATATTCTCTCCGGTCACCACTATGTCATGAGCTACGCACACTCAATGGCCACTTTGTTAGGTACACCTGTTAAACTGCTGCAATTGATACTTTGTCAGGTTTGAGTCTTGATTTTCTGATGTAAACAACATGGCATGAATCCATCCTGCCCCGTGTGGTGGCGTAATGGTGTGGGGCTTTATAGTTTTATTATAGTTAACTAAACTAAAATTTTGAAAATTAATTCAAACAAAATTGTATAGAAGGGATCTTTAGATTTAGTATTTGTTAGTCTGGTTAAACAAAAAATGTTATTACATCTTGCCTGATGTGGTATTAATGGACATGTTTGAGACTCTGGATGCGAGTCAGCAGCTTAAAAATTATTATTTTTTTAAATGACGAGAAAAATATGCCCTCCATACTGTACAATAATCATTTAAAAAACTAAAACTAACACTGAAACTCATCAAAACTAAAGTAAAATGAAACATTTTCAAACTATAAAAGCTAAACTGAAGGTGGCGCAGTGGTTAGCACTGTTGCCTCACAGCAAGAAGGTCCCAAGTTTGATTCCAAAGGGCCCGGGCCTTTCTGTGTCTGTGGGGGATCTCTCCCAGTCCTCTGGCTTCCTCCCACAGTCCAAAGACATGCAGTTAGTGGTGTTAGGTTAATGATTCTTAAATTGGTGCCTGCAGGTGTGAATGTCCAACTAGTAAGGTGTACCTAAAAAAGTGTCCAGTGAGAGTAAAACCACAGGAATGATTATCCTGTTATGATTATTGAGTTTGGACTCTATCACAGGCCAACAGATTACAGATTACCTTCATCAAAACCAGATCTCACTCTCTGCAGCGTAAAAACAAATTAAGTGACCTGTTTTGTCCTCGTTCTTAACTCCACAGCTGTTGTCAGCAGAGCCAAATCCTCCGCTGGTTTAGCAGTTTTTTCACTGCATGAATACTTTCTGTTCGCAAATTCAAGTTGCTACATGGCCTAATTTTTCTCCTATGTACTGTATATGTAGTCAAAGTAGATTTTCATGCTTTAACAGTTTGTAAAGCAAAAACCGTATGAGAAGAGCAAATGTATCAGTGGTTTTTATGAGGCGCTGAGTGGTTGCTTTTAATGTCCCACTATTTTAGAGCGGTTCAGCAATAAAGACTTGAAATTAGTATTTGTTTTTGTGTTGGATGTGTGGGTTACCACTAGGGGGGGCTCAGTCACACCTTATAAAAGATACACCAAAGGACAATTCAGGTTATAAAATTCCATTTTATTGTCAGAACTCATCACACAAAAACACTCCAAACTGATTGGAAGAAAAAGATAAAAGTAGCTCCCGTGTTGCTGGAGATTCAAACCATTTTAGAAATGCAACTTTAAGGAAAGGAATGCTTCCTGAAAATCAAAGATATAAGAGGACGACTGTCTAAAGATCAAAAGAATGTGTGTGATTAGCATTTAAGTATTGAATCACATCGATCAATCATTCTGTGATGAAAAGAGAGGGAAAAAATGGAAATGGTAAGTCCCTCCCCCTTGCTGCTGCAGCTTTCACTGCTCATCTCACTGCTTTGGAGACTAGACTCAAAGTGGACTCTGTGCTGAGGTGGTATGAGCTGAATCCTCAGCTCTTGATTTTAGCAGGGGGGGAAATAAAACAAGATTCACTGCTTACTCAGTCATAAAGGATATAAATCTTAAAAGGAGCTGAAAGCAGATTTTAACATTACAGAGTAAGTTTTATGTTTTTGATGTTCAAAGTATTAAATAACGCAAAGAGGTTGCACTGATGTTTTATGAGTAGTGAGCCATGCACACAAACGTAATCTCTTAGCAAGTACGGAGGTACAGAGGGAGTAAAAATTTTAAATATGGAGGACTACATTTAAACATTTTATATATAGTTATTTATATAAATGTATATTCCCTCTTCAATATCTTCCTGTGCTTCATCTACTCAAACACTTTATATCTATGTGCTGTGTTGCCAAAACAGGAAAAGCATGTTAAAATGAATGACAGCTTCATATTTATTCACCACATACACGCCTACAGAAAAAAAAAAATCATTCACCCTAAAGTACACAAATATTTGGATTTTTACGTCACAGAGAAATGATTCTCACCAACTTCCCACAAATCCCTCGTTTCTTATTTTGAGAAGAAAATAGACTCTTACAGCTAAAAATAGATTTGTTTTTAACCGTAAAGTAACGTAACCCCCACCCTAAGACTGGTATGAAAATTTTCTATCTGATCTACAAAATATAGCAATGCCCTTTTTAAAAATAGTTTGATTCTTTTGCAATAACAGGACATGTTGGGTTTTTTCCTTCTTTCGTTACATTCAGGATATCAGGATATAGACAGAATAGTGCTTTTGATAAGAGTTCACACTTGCAACAGTTTGGATTTCCCCCGCCCTCCCCTCAACTCTTGTCAGTCAAGTCGCTGCTCATTTCACCCTCAGTATCTGGTCTGGTACTCGTGATGCCACCTGTTGAAGTCGTTGTAGAAGAGGACGATGCTTCCCGACGCCATGCCGGTTATGATGCACCTGAGGAATGTTAGGAGGGAACATCATGAGGCCGTGAAGGTGAGCTTAATGGTTTGCCTGCTCTCTTGAAGTGGAGGAAATTTTAATTTTGTAAGTTTGCTCACTTCCAAAAACACAGTTTCTAACTTTTTTAATTTTCATGGAGAGAAACAGAAAATCAACCAAAAATCTAGAAAGAGACGTTACACAAAAGTTATACATCATATTGAGTGAAATAAGTATTTGATCCTCTACAAACTAACCAGAACTCTGGTTCCTACAAATTACAATCAAGCCATCAATTACACATACTCCTGACTTTAACTAGTTTTGTGTATGAAGCACACCTGTCCACAGAATCAATTTCTTCCATTAAAACCTCTCCACCACCGTGGGTGAGACCAAAGAGCTGTCAAAGGACGTCAGGAGCAAGATTGCAGACCTGCACAAGGCTACGTGGGCTACAAGACGCTTGGTGAGTAGGGGACAACTACTGGTGCGATTATTTGAAAACGGAAGAAATATGAAAACTCATGTGGAGTACAGCCCGAAGAACACCATCCTCACAGTTCAGCACAGAGGTGGACCCATAATGCTTTGGGGCTTAACAACTACTTCACTGTACTAAGGGACGACTGGATGGGGCCATGTACCATAAAATGTTTTAATCTCCTTCCCTCAGCCAGAACACTTCATGATGGGTTGTGAATGGGTCGTCCAGCATGACAATGCTAAACATATCGCTAAGACAACCAAGGAGTGGCTAAAGAAGAAACACATCAGGGTCATGGAGTAGTCAGCCGATTTTCAGACTTCAGTCCTTTAGAAAATCTCTGGAAGGAGTTGAAACTTTGAGCTGCTAAGCAGCAACAAAGAAACCCCCAAGAGACGTGTGACCAACCACAAGAAACATCCTACTGCTGTGACTGCCACCAAGAGGTTCTCCACTAAGTGAGTCATGTTTTGCTTGGAGATCAAATAGTTATTTTACTCAATGACATGCAAATCAATTTATAACTCTTATGCGTCTTATGCGATGTGTCTTTTCTAAAGTGTTGGTTAGTATTCTGTCTCTCTCCATTAAAACTAGAGACTGTTCGTTATTGTCCAAGTGAGCAAACTTCAAATAAATATAGCCACTGTTGTACATATGCATGATCTTTTGTTTGAGCGCGTTACCTTTGGTCATGTGACATGGCCATGGAGCGGATTCCTGCGTCACAGCCCGGATAGGTGAACAGCTGTTTGAGGTTGTGGACCTGCCAAACAGATACTACGCCTCCATCGCCGCCTGTCAGCAGGTATTGGCCATCACGGCTGAGGAGCACAGCCTGTGAAAGACGATCAGAGAACTTCCTTCTTAACTCTTTGCTTCCATCATGCAAAATCAATTATTTACCAGCGTCATCTGTTAAGTGTCCCACAAAGGTCAAACTCAAAGGTTTTCAACTTGGTAGCGTGTGCATAAATTGCCTCTGAATAAGCCGCTGATCTGGGGGCAGTTTGTCTCTACCGTCAAAGCAAAGCTCGTACCGCGAGGTCGAGCGATCCGACAAAAAATCTCAGGTCAGCGCCGCCATCCTGAGGGGTTTTTCTGCACACAGACCTCGACCCGCAACAAAGATGGCTCCCCACAGCGAGGCCCGGAGATTTACTCGTCTCATCTGCTTTTCCTGCAAACTGTAGCGGCCGAACGGGTCCCGCGGGATTCACATGTACACAAATCAAGTCGTGTGCTGGAGTCTATTAAGAGCGCAGCGCATAGTGGAAGCTGAAACTGAACGAGTCGGGAGCATCAATCAGCAAGTAACCGTAGCCGATGAAATGACGAGGCAGAATGTTAAGTTCTAAAAGCAGCAAATGACACTAATTTAGAGCTTTTTGTCCTCTGCGGTTTTTGTGACATGCTTTGCGGCGATTCAGCGGGAGACGCTTCAATCAGCAGCCGCATGTGTGTTGAATTGGGCTCGCATTAAACGGAAAACTGAAACCTAAACTTGAAGTTGGAACGAGTCATTTTCAGGAACTTGATTCGGTAAGGAAAACATAAATAACCCTTCAAGACCTGCAGCCTAATTAAGCAAAAATGTTTTGTATGTAAAGAGAGAGGGGGGGGGAAAGCTTATTTCTCATTCAGGCACAAACTTGGATGTGAAGGCGCTCCCACACACAGATACACAAAGCGTTGCGCATTGATGCCCTGGATTCTCAGCTGGCCTTGAGAATCAATCCAAACTAATTGTCACGTTAGATCATCGTCATCGTGGCGCACGAGCGAGCGCAGCTCCGGGTTGATTTGTGTGCTGTGGGTCTGCTTTGTGTCCACAGCAATTGTCTTGTGTGTCAACATTCGGAGTTAATCTGACAGCGGCGATAAAGACGAGCGCTCATTTCAGTCTGAGCCATCAACCAAACCACCACCAACACAATAACAGGTACAATGAGATGGAAGAGAGCAAAGTGCTCGGCGCAGTTTAGCCAAGTTGCCTAAAAGTTTGTGACCACAAGCAACATAATAACGTTCAACAGAGCAGCAGTAAAAGTAAAACTATTTATCAGTTCTTATGCTGTATTAATGCACTTGTGTATCTACTAATGGAGTCCATGACCTTACTGGAGCCCAGCAGGAGGCAGGGGAGCTGGCAGACATGTCAGCCTAGCCAGGTAGGAGGCTGCAGACAGACATTATAAATCAGTCCTTTGCCACTGGGCGGCCAAACAAGATGGCCGATGGCTCTGTGGGGGCTAAGATGGCTACCCGGGCTCGGATGACTAAAAAATGACTCCAGCAGAAACACATGCACTTTTAATGCCCATATTTCCTACTTCTTTCAAGGAACAGTGGGTGGATTCTGGGGCTGGAGAAGGTAAAAAGTTTAATTTATGGTGCCGTTAATCCCCCTGTTACACGGACGCAGGCAGCGAAAGAACTGCTGGAATGGTTACACTGCCTGAGTTATACTAGTACTTAAAAGAATGTAATCCATTCAGTATGGCTCCTGTCACCCGATTCTGCTATTAGACTAGGATGCCGACTGTTAGCCTGTCATCTAACCTCTGACTCCAGACCCCTATAAATTCACAGTGCATACACTCTCTCTCACAGTCTTCCTCTCCGTTTCTGAGTGTGTACTGCAGGCCAGGACAAACACTTATTTATACTGGAGCCATACTGTGCAGAGGCTCCAAGGGCTGAGAAGATTGATTCTGGTATGTACCAGAGTGTACAAAATACTGTTGGAGTCTCAGACCAGGAGGGTGAAGCAGAGAGGGTGAGGCAGGCGGAAGGGAGGGAGTTGAGACTCTTACAGCCTCACTCCAAGATATTAGGATTCTCCTAATGCCATCTGACACGACTGGAATTTACAGCAGCAGAGGAGAGCCGACAAGGCCGCCAGTAGCTTGAACTGTTCCCAAGTTTCATCTTCAGAAAGAAACCAAAAAACTGTGAAGCTCAAAAACTGTCTGAAGGACGCTGTTAGTTTCTCTTAAAGACACAAAGATCCAGCATTAGTTTCACAGGGATTGTAATGCACTCCGTCAGTATTTGAGTATATTTGTGGCTTTGTGTGGGAGCAGGGCTGGTTGGCAGGTTAGGAGCCTGGGCACAAGAGCTTTCTTAATAGGAAACAGGC